CGAAGGATCAGGTATGATCTACAGGTGGAGGAGGAAAAGACAGCCTAGCGCAAGACAATATTTATAAATTTGCTGATGATTTAGATGGAGCTTTCTCAAGAAGAAGATAGTAGAAGTGACCTATAACCTCTAGAATCTTGGCTGAGTTATCCCACCACATTGAGAAACTGTGTACAGCGGAGGCCATTCAACTTTGCCTTTGGATGCGATTGTAATTCTCTTAGAGCTGGATGTTCTATAATAATCTAACCCATTCAGTGATGTGAACTTGGGGAAAGTTGACGGAGGGGGACAGTTTGATATTTCTACTTTTCCCCCCCTCCCTTTATTGATTTTTTGAGAGAGAGGGAGAGGGAGAGAGAGAGAGAGACATCGATGAGAGAGAACATGGATGGGCCACCTCCTGCATGCCCCCCACTGGGGATCGGGCCCACAACCTGGGCATGTGTCCTGACCGGGAACTGAACCTGCGACCTCTTGGTGCATGGGTCGATGCTCAACCACTGAGCCACACTAGCCGGACGGCATTACTACTTTTAGTCTCCCATGGACATCCCACTGGGAAGCTCAAACAGTATGGGATAATGTTATGGGTTTAAGCTCGAACAAAATAGTACCTTCTCAGAAAGCTCCTGTTCTGTAGCATCAGTAGAACAAGAATCATGGATGCTAGCTGCCCATGTCCAGTAGGGGGCAGTCTAGCACCCAGAGGTAGTAATACTGGGACCCCAGTTCACTCATTCAACACAGTGGGCGTGGTTTCCCAGAGTGGACATAATTGAATATTTTCTAACTTGTTTACATTTTAGATGCTTAAAATTTTGCATTTTATAGGCTTAGCCACTAGGATGGGCAATCTTAGTGTTATGCTGGTAAGCAGGAGAGAAGCAGAGCTCAATGTTCAGAGAGTGGACCCAAACTCAAGACATGTGTCCACCAAACAGACCAAAAATAGTGGCCCGGAGCCTGGACCCCAGCACCATGTGTGAGATCAAATGTGTTTGTTGTCTTGTTAGTTCATTACTTGTTTCCAGATGTTTGTTCTTGTTCAGTTCTTCCATGGACGACGCTATCTTTGAAACAACAGCTTTATAGGTTTTTTTTAATATCCTCACCCGAGGACATTTTTATATTTATCTTCAGACAGAGCAGGAGGGAGAGAGGGAGGAAGAGAGAAAGAGAAACATTGACGTGAGAGAGACACATCGAGTGGCTGCCACCCGCACGACCCCAACTGCGACGGGGGACAAACTGCAACCGAGGTACGTGCCCTTAGCGGGAACCGAACCCGGGACTCTCTGGTTGCGGGCCGATGCTCTAAGCGCTGAGTCAAACCGACCAGGGCTACAGGCTCTTTTTTTAAAGGAAAAAAATTCACGTCACTTTTCCAATAGGCACACATATGTATGTACGTGCATAAAAATATGTTTCTTAGATCACTGCTAACCTCTGCTAACTGAAATGGCTCTAATATATTCTGTTTCATCCCAATTTATTCTGTTTCATTAATAGGGCTAGTCAATATCTAGTAAATTTATTTGACAACCCACCATTGGATCACAGCCCGCAGTGTGAAAAATAACCGTGCCTAGGAAATCTCGCAACGTCCGTTTCCAAACCGATCCTCCACGGTCCCTAGGTCTTCTCCTGTTTACTTCTCCTGTTTACTCCCCCAACTGCATAGTTTCAGAGTCCCTTAGGGGTTTACCGCCTCCAGCAGAAGCTTGTCTGGGCCGCCCCTCTGTGCCCTCTTGACTGAATTTCCCCACAGATTCCCGTTCCCAGGGCTACAACTGTGTGCTCTTGTACTGATTTGTAAATACATAGACCCAGCTGTGGAGTTCCTCCAGAATTCTTGTTCTCCAGTGGCCTTCGAGATAGTTCCATGTAGTTTTAGCCCCATCATCTCGAGCTCAACATGCCCCAGATCGAAATTAGCATCTTCCCTGAACACCTCGGTTCCCCTCCTTAGTCTTTCTTGTCCCGTGCACCCTGGCCCGCTGTGTCCGGCCACCGCTGACTCTGTTTTCTTGTCTCTCATAAGTAGTCTGTCTTCTGATCTTGTTAACTCTTTGCTTCATCTCATGTTCCATCCTTGCCCATGTACACCCTTGATTAAAAAAAAAAAAAAAAAAGCCCTGGCCAGTCTGGCTCAGTGGTTAGAGTGTCGGCCTGTGGAGCAGAGTGTCCCGGGTTCGGTTCCCGCTAAGGGCGTGTACCTCGGTTGCAGTTTGTCCCCGGCCCATTTGGGGTCGTGTGGGTGGCGACCAGTGGATGTGTCTCTCTCACATTGATGTTTCTCTCTCTCTCCCTCTCTCTCTCTCCCTCCGGCTCTATCTGAAGATAAATGCAAAAATGTCCTCAGGTGCGGATAAAAAAAAAGCGGTTTTCTATTACCTACGGAATTGAATCTGAACTCTTTCAAGCACTGAGCAAAGGGGTCAAGTGCACCCTGAGTTGAATTAGAAGTCGAGCTCCAAGGTAGGAGCTGGAAAGAACGAAGTCGTGTCTGGTCACTCAGGTGTCAGCCTCCCTTCTTTGACTAATACGACGCTTACCATGTCCTTCCGGCCAAATCCGGACGTCGCTGTGCGGGTTTATGTTCATGACTGTGTCATCATGCTGTTAGACACTTTCCGGAGGGCTGGGATCTGGGCGTCACCTTGACTCAGCATCAGCATAGCCGTAGGGATGCTGCCTGCACACCTCCAGTTTCTCTCAAACCTTCACGTGCGCAGGAATGATCTGTTAGGACAGAGGTCCCGATGCCGCAGGGACAGGCGGGGAGTCTGCAGTTCTGTTCCGTTCCCAGGCAACGCGAAGCTGTTGTTGGGAGACCCGTGCTCTGAGCAGCGTCACTCAAATTCCCCTTCAACCCATCTCCGTGTCACTCTTCTGGGTGGAGCCACTGTCCCCTCAGACCCTCCTAACTGCTGTGCCTGCTGCCCGTCCGTCCCCACGGCTGGTCTCCCCTAAACAAGCGTGTCATGCACATCAGCAAGGCAGGGTCGCAGTTCAGACCTGGCCCGGAACCTGGGACGGGGCTACCCCCGGGAATCTGGAATGTCCCCGTTCTTTCTTGTCTTGCTTCTACAGTTTCCTTGTCTGCCGATCCCTTTGGTGAACTTCATTCTGCTTTCTGCCAGACTACTGATTTTCTTTTTTTAAAATTGGTTTTCTTTTATTGGTATTAGAGAGAGAGGAAGGAAGAGGGAGAGAGAGATGGAAACATCGATGAGAGAGAACATCAGCTGCCTGCCTCCTGCATGCCCCCCACTGGGGATCGGGCCCACAGCCTGGGCATGTGCCCTGACTGGGAATCGAACCAGTGGCCTCTTGGTGCATGGTCGACGCTCAGCCACTGAGCCACACCGGCCGGGCCAGACTACTGATTTTCATTGTGCCCAGCACAAGTCAGGCCCTGTGCCCTGCAGCGCTCACATTTTCTGCAGGGGCGTGGGGCCCGCCACACCGTGGATGTGTTCCTTCTAAGCCCACGGCCGCCCAGCTGTGTGTCGTTCCAGGAGGAGAGCTGATGAGAGGAAGACGTGGCTGGGAAGGATACATAGAGTGTCCGCCGATGACGAGTGGCCTCTCCTTGGCTCCGTCCTGCAGCCTAGCTGGCCTCACCGAGCTGGGGTCATCCAGCGGTGGGTTTGCCCCGCACCCAGTTTCTGGCCATTGCTGTTGCCGGGCTCCTTGGAGGTCGTGGGAAGCAAGGCTGCCTCTGTTTTGTTTTAGTTTATTCTGATCCATTCGTCATTATTATTATTTTCCTGCTGGCTCTATTGCTCCGTCTTTGATAATATATTGCAAAGAGAACTGCCCTTCATCAGCGGGGCAGGACAGCCCAGTGCAAGGGGCATTCTGGAGGCCAGCAGGTGGGGAGGAAGCAGAGGTGGGAAGTGAGGTCCTGGTCTGGGGTCCCGCTTGCTCAGGTGTCTTTAACCTTGGGAGGGTGATCCAGCCCCCCCGAGCCGCTCAAATCCTCAGAGGGGCAGGAACGGATCTGACTAACTGGTCTCAAGGATAAGTCACTAGAGCCATGCAAAATACTTTTCTTAAAACAACAACAACAACAACCCCAAACTCTCCCTCCCAGAACCACACTGTAGTGCCCTCAATGCCTTGAAGCTTCTTCTGCCCGGGGAGGCAAATGGGTGCGTGGGCCTTCGTGTGACCTTCCTAGGCCAGGGGAACTGACTGCGAGGTCACTAAGACATGGGCCAAAGGCATTTTCATGCTCCATGCCTGTCACTGCTGCCAAGACCGTGCACGTCCCCCATGGACGAAAACAGTCCAGAAGGAGAAACACGATGTAATCATTTGCCACCCTGAGGACCCAGCCTGTGTATATCTTCCAGTGTGCGCCCCGGGTGGGTGTGTCCCGCAGGTGTCCCTCAGGTGTCCCGCAGGTGTCCCGCAGGTGTTCAGCAGGTGTCCCGCAGGTGTCCCGCAGGTGTCCCGCAGGTGTCCAGCAGGTGTCCCGCAGGTGTCCCGCAGGTGTCCCGCAGGTGTCCCGCAGGTGTTCAGCAGGTGTCCCGCAGGTGTCCCGCAGGTGTCCCGCAGGTGTTCAGCAGGTGTCCCGCAGGTGTCCCGCAGGTGTTCTGCAGGTGTTCGCTGCTCTGCTGCACGCCCTCATCCTCCAGGTCCTCCTGCCCCCCGCCCTTCAGAGTCCCGGGTTCCTAGGGATAAGTGGGAGAAAGCTGGTGGGTAGGAGGCTCAGTAAAAGGAGGAGCCCAGTGGGAGGCAAGAGGGGCAGAGGAAGAGATTTCCCGCAGCAGAGGGACCCCTGAGACCCATTTGCAAGACGGACACTCCGCTCAGTGCGATTTCTGCATTTTCCTCTCCCGTGGCCAGCGGTGGAATCAATAGATTGCCCGCGGCCTGGTTAGCAATGGGGCTGGGCGGTGGCAGCCACGCGTGCGGGTGGTGGGACCCACGGTCTGGCGGACAGGACGTGGAGCACTGACTGTCTCATTTCCTTTCTCTCTCTGCAGGGCGGCTGCGGAGGTCCTTGTAGCGCTGCTGAAATCCAGTAAGCACCTCTCTGGAAAAGGGGTCCTGTCTCCCCCCTCCCAGTGCAGACAGATGCCCGTCCGGCTCCATGGCTCCACCCTGGGGGGCAGCAGAGCCTTTCTGGGATCTTGGGGTGGAGATGGAGAATGTTATGTCTGTTCCAAGCTCAGGGCTACAAAGAGAGAGCTAGTATCCCTCCCCGTGGGCATGCCATTAGACAACTGATTCGAAAAGGAGAGTGTTGAGCCCTGGCCGGTTTGGCTCAGCGGTTAGAGCATCAGCCTGTGGACCAGAGAGACCCGGGTTCGGTTCCCGCTAAGGGCACGTACCTCGGTTGCAGTTTGTCTCTGGCCCCAGGTGGCGACCAGTGGATGTGTCTCTCTCACATCGATGTTTCTCTCTCTTCCTCCCTCTCTGCCTTCCACTCTCTCTGAAGATAGCAAGAATGTCCTTGGGTGAGGACTGTGGGAATAAGCTCAGGTCCCATGGGGCTGTCCTGGGGAAGAAAAGGTGTTGGATGAGACGCAGCATCTTATGCTTGGTTGCCAACCCAGGTCCTGACTGTACCGTTGGGCAGGTGGGGTGTTAGGGATTGCTAGAATAGTGTAGATACTGATACCAAAAGTATATTAAGCCCTGGCCAGTTTGGCTCAGTGGTTAGAGCGTCGACCTGCGGTCCAGAGAGACCCAGATTTGGTTCCCGCTAGGGGCATGTACCTCGGTTGCAGTTTGTCCCCGGCCCTGGTTGGCCGTGCGGGTGGCAGCCACTCGATGTGTCCCTTTCACGTCGATGTTTCTCTCTCTCTCTCTCCCTCCCACTCTGTCTGAACAAAAAGTGAAAAAATGTCCTCGGGTGAGGATAAAAAAAAACCAAAAAAGTATATTAAGAGGTTGGTTCTTTTCTGAGTTCCTTGAGTAAATGCAAAAAAGAATAGCTCTGGGGGGTTTGGATAATTTGAGGATTTTTTTTCTTGCCTGGTAGCCCCGGTCTAATTATTCTGGGCATCAACGTCACATGGGCGATGCAACAGGAGGCACTAGGCACCTGGGAGCGGAGAAGCCTTAGCTTCATGTTTCCATCCCCCCTCCTTACCGCTTCATCTATTTTAATTTGGCAGTTTGGAAACCAGCGGCTTCCATTGTGATATTTGTTTCTCTATAGGGAGCCCAAGGCCTGTAGGTAAGAGGTGAACTTTAATAAAACTTATAAATAAAGATAAAAACACCTCCTTCCCCCGACCGTACCTCCCTGACAACTCTGAGCCCAGAGAAAGATCCGTACCGCGCAGACTTCCCTCTGTGGACTGAAGGGGAGAAAATGAAGCTTGAGTTAGTTTCGTTTCATTGGAACCTGATACAATACCCAGGTCTTCCCACGGCGGTTGGAGGAGGTGGGGGCAGGCGGGAGTAAAGAGGTAAGTCCCTGAGACAGGAGGGGCTCAGTGTGATCTGAGGGTTGTGGGGAGAGGACTGCTCATCCTTAAGACTGGACCTGCCTCAGGTTTGGCGTCCGGGTTCTCGCTATTTATCTGCTCCCCGTTTTGCCCCCGATGGACCCCGGTGTTGGATGCAGCAGGTGAGGGAGCCCTTGGACCACAGCTGCTTCTTCATGTGCAGTCAGTCACCTACACCTTTCTCAGCCCACGAGCTTCGAGCTGAGGACCCTGATTTACAGTGTACCCGCCGCGTGGGAAAATCCGAAAGGAGTCACATGCCAATCGTGAACTGTTTCCGTTGAAACACGATGCAGGGGGCGGGAGGAACTAGCAGCTGTGTGAATCCCCACTGATGCGGGCTGAGAGCCAGGTCCCAGCACAGTGGGGCTCAGCCGCCTGCGGGGTGAGGGGCGCCGTTGTGAGGGTTCCGACTTCTCTTCCTGCAAAGCCCGGGCTGCTCTCCTGATCAGACATTCCCTGGCTCCCATGGCCAGGTTAGATGCCCCTCGGGGCTCCCACAGGCCCTCCCTCCTGGGCGGTGACCACGCTGTGTTGACATCCCTGTCCCTCTCTCCCAGATGACTGCACACTTTTGCGGGGGAGGCTCCTTCTTGCTGATCGTTGTGTGACTCGCGTCGGCACCATAAGAAGGCCGATGTAAATATTTGCGGATTAAGCTTTGATATGAATGAGATTTCTCCTATTTACCTGGATGAACGTGACAACATCACCCCGTTATTCCCCGCATCCGACCACCCGTGCCTAGACTCAGCCATCGTGATGTTCAGAGTCCCAACCGCTGTTTACTCTGTCAATAGACGGTTAGCGAACGGAGGGCCTGCGGTCCTCTGTGCATGAAACAGGTCTGTGGTCCCAGTAAAAGCGGCAGAGGGTTATTTTTGAATTCTGCTGAGCTGTTGGGACAGCCCCTAGTCTACGTGTTACATTTGTTTTCCAATTTTTTATTAATTTATTTTTGTGACAGATATTTCTCCTTTTTCCCCCCTAGACACCCTCCTCCCCACCCTGCCCTCCCCCAGCATAGTTGTCCAGGTCCATTGGTTACACATACATGCATATAAGTTCTTTGGTTCATCTCATCCGTCTCCCCTGCCCCCCTCCTCTGAGGTTTGTCAGTCTGAACCATACTCCTTTCTACGTCTCTGGGTCTGTTCCGTTCACCAGCCCACCTTGTTCATTATATTCCACAAATAAGTGAGATCACGTGGTAATTGTCTTTCTCTGATGGGCGTATTTCGCTTAGCATAATGCTCCCCAGGTCCCTCCGTGTGGTCTCAAAGGATAAGAGACCTTTCTTCCTTGAGTTTTACATTCTTTATGACACGAGAGAGCCGAAGGACAGGTCCTCTGAGACTCTTTCTACCGCTAAATACAGACTCGGCCTCAATGTGTGTTAGGGATCCTCCCCCTTGGCACTGCTGCGTTTTGGACTGGATCATGCCCAGGGGTTGAGGTCTGGACTGTGCCTTTCAGGGGGGTTAGCAGCGTCCTTGGCCTCGGCTCACCAGGTGGCCAGCCGGAAAGAACGCAGGTGTCCGGAGCCGCTGCTCAGTGTGCCCTGGGAGGTCAGGTCACCTCCCGCTGGGGGTACCGGTGTGCATTGGAGCCCATACATGAGCGGATGCTCGTTCAAGCTTTCAGAGGACCCCTCCCCAAACGCCTTTAGAGGTGTGCCGCAGACATGCATGCCCTTCTCGCACAACTGGCCTCACATTCCCCCGCGTCGGTGTTGCTCCTACGGGCTGAAGAAAGTCGTTGTGAAATGCGGAGACTACATGGGAGGACCGCAGGCTGGGAGGCTGGACGATCCTAGCGCAGGGAGAGGAAATGGGTTTCACACCAGTGCCCGTCTCACGTGTGGGTAGAAGGATCTGAGAAGCAAGCTGAGCTCAGCAGGCGAGGGCTGTGTCCCAACAGCAGAGTCTGCCCTGGATGTGGGGAGGAGCCGTCTCTGTCCGCTCTGCCCAACCACAGGGTTGCACGGCGTGGGGGCTGAAGCTGGATGGTGTGCGGCACACCCCGCTAGGCCGGGGGTGCTGCAGGGGAGACGATGGCGTGGACTTCTCCAGCTGCTCCTGTTGTCTTCGTGCGCAGGATGTCACTTGGCATCCCAGGTGACTTCCTGTCGGCTGAGCCAGACCGCAGGACTCCCCATCTGGCGCTGCTGTCTAGGGACACTTTGGGGACCCGCAGCTCCTACACAGCCCCTTTAGCTGGTGATGCCCACGCGTCCTGATGTTTGCTCGTCAGTATAAAACTTGGCCGCTCGAGTCAGTCTCTGTAATTGCATCACTAAAGGAGAGCATGCCCAGGTCCAAGTGAAGACGGAAGGACACATCTGGGACCTTGGGGACCGTCAGTGTTCCTGTGGCGATAAGCATGGCTGGGCTTGGGAATCTGAGGTCGCTAGGACCCTATGGAGTAGTGGGCAGCTGGAAGCAATCCCAAGCAGGCAGTAGAAAAGCAGACAGAGGGGTGTGGGAGACTTGGAGCCCGCCCTCTGCAATAACAAAACGGGCTGCACTGGGCTGGTTTTATGTTACTTCAGCTCTCTCTTCCCTCACGTAGCTAGTGCAGGAGACGCCAGTGGATGGTAGCGGAGAAAACGAATCAGAAGACAGCTCTCGCCCTGGCTGGTGTGGCTCAGTGGGTTGAGCATCGCCCTGTGCACTGATAGGTTGCTGGTTCGATTCCTGGTCAGGGCACACGCCTGGGTTGCAGGCTCCGTCCTGAGTGGGGGTGTTCAGGAGGCAGCCGATCCCCATCTCTTTCTGCTCTCACATCGATGTTTCTCTCTCTCTCCCTCTCCTTTCCTCTCTCTCCAAAATCAATATAGAAAAAAAACCGTCGCTCCGTCAAGGATCCTTTTTGTATGCATGTGGGTTGAATGATTTAATCCAAACCCTGTGCCTTTGGGTTGTAATAGCTCCTCCTCTCGACTCCCCCATACGCAGATTCTACTCCAGCCTCCTGTATCAGAAGTTCCGCCTGTTCGTGTCTGATCCTCTGCAAAGACACGTAGCTGTTTATTAGCAGAACGTAAAGCGCTGATGAAGAAATAACGCAAGCCACACTTGTCTCTGATAAAATCAACACGACACCCTCTCCCCCTGCGTTTGTTCTCTGCCTCCACTGGGCTTCCTCTTTCGTCTGTGTCTCCACCTCTCTCTCCTTCTTTCTCCCCCTCCTCTTCTTTTATCATTCTGCACTCCACCTCTCCCCGTGAGCATCAGGGAGCAACACAGTTCTGGAAAGTTTTGGCCCTGGAAATGGCCTTGAATGAGATTATGCCTGATTCCTATGGGCTCCCATGATGCATCTTTAAATAATGCCTTGTTTGTTTGTTTTTTAATGTTTCATTGTTGATTTTAGAGAGGAAGGGAGAGGGAGAGAGATAGAAACATTGATGAAAGAGAATATCGATTGGCCGCCTCCTGCATGCCTCGCACTGGGGATTTGACCCACAACCTGGGCATGTGCCCTGACCGGGAATCCAACCGGTGACCTCTTGGTGCAGGGTCGACGCTCAACCCCTGAGCCACACCAGCCGGGCAATTGTGCC